TGGGAAAATGCCGCTTAGCGATTTACATGTGTTCCTTCATTGTGGTTTATTGAGTGGGCCAAAACGACTAACTTATCCTCTCAACTGTTTTAAGTTATTTCCCGGCGAAGATTTATCGACGGCTCTCAGCAACGAACTTTTTACAAGCTTGCTTCAATCCTTATCCGAAGCCGAGAATGGCCGGTCTGCTTCCACAGGTTTTTCTCGCAATCCTGGCTGGCTTACTTCTGTTCGTTGACCGATTCGAATGAGGTCTTCCAGTTACGCGAGTATGATTTACTTGGGGAGAAGGTAAGTGAGGTGTTTTTGACATGAACTGGATATCGACTTTTAAATGATAGCAATGCTACGAAAAGCTTGTTTTTGACCTAGCAAACTATTTTTCCCTCCAGAAGGGAACCATCACGTAGCGGAAAGTACTCACAAAACTCGCGAACCGCGATAAATCTCAGAGAGAGGAAATTCTACGAAACTTTAAGGGCTCGAGAATGTTTCAGTGAACGAAGGTGTTCATGAGAACTGGATGTTGCATCGGAAAGGCTTATAGTAGAGATCAGTCTAGTACAAATGTCGTTCGACCTGAACTTCCTTTCATTTGAATATTCATTGCTTCTAATCCCTGAAATGGTAAAAAGGCTCCTCTCCAGTCTTCGAGGAAAGCTCTCGTGGGCCAACAGAAAATTGAGAAGCCTGGCAAGGCTACCCACATGAACTGGGGCTTTCTATAACTGATCACATATCCGAATGCCAAGCTTTTCTGATTCCTCGACTGGCACCATACCATACCATACCTATGCACTGACAAAACTATGATAGGAAATGAAAATACAAAGTTTGCGCCACAATATATTAGTGAAATTCGTTCGGGCATGATGAAGCAAGAAAGTTGGCAATGAACATGGTATCATCAAGTCCTCAACGGCAACTCACGAAGGTTCCAAGAACAAGTCGGCAAGCGCTAGGCCCTCTAAAACTCCTTTATCCCCAAAACTGTATCAGTTTTTTTAGCTACCGCAATTCTATTGATGGTAAGAGCCGCGGCCACTGAGCGGATATTTAGATCATTCGGCGGGGTCGTCAAGGTGCCGACGAGCAGGGCGGCCGGCGGTCTAGATGGCCATGCGATGAGGGCGGTGGCGCTCGCCACTATGGCGATCGTCGGGCGTCGTGTGTCGCCAGGCTGGCTCCGGGCGGAGCTAGTCGCCGACTGGTACCGCCTTGCCGCCGCCACGATAAAACCACGCCAAAAAAGCAGCGACGATTCGAAAATTCGAATTCCGGCAGAGGGACGAAAGAAAGCAGAGCGGGCAGGTTGCAGTGACGGGTGACGATGAGCTGGGCTGGTACCTCAATCGCAGTTGATGGGCATTGCATTGGCAGCGCCCTATCGTCTGACCCGGGACTATGGGGACTACGACAGGATGGGGAGGGGGAACCAAAGCGAATCAAGGTCTCGTATCATGTTTGCAGCACCTGACAATAGGGCTTTTTTGGATTCACGCGAAGGTTATCCAGTGCACTGCACCTTGCAAAAAGACGGCCGATGTTTGCTCATTTTATTGTATCTGATGGTAATAAAACCTGAATTTAAGGGAAAATCACGGGACAAGTGACAAAATCGATTTCTGAAAAAACAACATTAACGAGGGGAATCGGGATACTAGAAAAGGTATTCAGTCGCTCTGCCTAATTCCAGCGAGAGCTACCGTGTCCAAAAAGGACAGAGCCATTTTGCCATGACCACTTTATGCCATCCCACAAATTGTGGCTCTCAACCGACCAGGAAGGTAGATTTGGCTTTTTAAAAACGAGAAATGAGCTTCACTTATTGAGCCTCGGCTCATGTAGGTCCGATCGCATTCGCTCGTGGACAGGTAGGGCCCTCAAGAGCATAGCTCCTTGTTTCGGTATCTGCCAGCTCTAACAACTTCTACAAGTTTTTAAGCTGGATAACAAGAGGACTACGGCAGCCTTTTGTTTGATGAGGATAGCATAAGTCAAATACTCTTCGAAATCTTTCCAGAGGAATTTACATCCTCGTACTAGCAGAGATTGATAAGCAGAAATATCGTTGAGCGTTATAAAATTTTACTTTATTATTCGGCTATTTTATGAATGTATGTCGACTCCTAGGAAAGGTGTCGAAGACTAACCCACCAAAGATGCCTCCGTAGTAGCTTATTTGGTGCGAGACATATCAGAAGGCTAAAAAACTGGCTCAAAATTATCTAGACCACACATTTTAACCATTCAAAGCGCCAATGCGATTCTGAATGAAGTTTCAGTACGGGGCGCATCTCACAGCGACATTAACCGCTGCTCAGCTACAGAAAATCATCGTTACCTTTTTCTTGTGATCATCACTACAACATTGTGAAATTGATAATTTATATAGATTGTGTGGAGGAGAATGCGATAAGTTGACGTATGCAAAGAGTTGAGGTAAAGTTGATTAAAGTTCAAGACGAAAGCAAAAATTGAAAACTATACAAAAACCAAGGAAAGTCTTATCTCTTGCACCCGTGTTATTTGCTGGTTATGGGGAGCAAGGACGTACAGACCGTGAGCAGGAGGGAAAAATTACAAGATAGAAAAGGCACATATAAATAGATTGTTCGGGCGTCATCCATGTGAGAAAAAACAAAGGGGAGCGAATCCTACTTGATTCGTTTCGGTCCCCCGCTGTGGCCGTGTTCATGCCCTTTTCGTTGACGCCACAGCGCCATACGTTGTCTCCATTCCCTCCCGAGTAACCACCTCTCCATTGTCCATTTGTTCAGTTTGTGCGCACATCCTTGTTATCGAGCCGCCTACTTTTTATAGGCTAAACTTTTGAGGCCCAGTTCACGATACTTTCCATTTTCGTTCAAGTGAAACATGACGGTGCAGAACACTACAAAGGTGACAGAGAAGGAGCGAAAGTTGGCGGATTTTGAGAAAAAAACTTCTAAAAGTTATGAAATAAGAGGTTGCACGAGTTCATGACGAGAGAAGTGCCATAGAAGGGGTCAGTTGTGCACTACAAAGTGAAGTTGGCTACAGCCAGTCAAAAATTATAATAATCGTCTTATGCTGTCGCCATGGGTCACGTCTAGCTGTTTGGGTTCTCAGAATGTGTGCCCCAATGCGAATGGTGCAGCCTCTTCAAGGTCTTTAAGTCACGGCACTTCTGGGTACAGCATACAGTGGATACGTTCTCTGAGCCCTTATAACGCCCCGTCTCTACGCTGCCTTAGGTATTCACTTATGTTTTTCTCAAACTTCGATGCAAGTCAAAATGAAGCTCATCTAGACTGGAATGTTTGGGAGGAACTCGCAAGAAGTGAGGAGGTTTTAGAGCACTGATATTCGATAGTTATCGAAATTGCAGAATGCTCAGAAATAATACTTTGTGATAGAAAAAGCTAAATAAGTTTTTTTAGACGTTAGGGTGTTCGGACGGTATCTTTTCGGAATTTCGTAGAGGTCCAGGTTTTTTTTCCGAAAAGTTCCGTGGGTTTTCATAGGACTGTAGAAGGACAAAACTTACTCGTATGCGTGCAACATATCAGGAGGTATCACGATGTCGCAGTCGGTTGGCCAGGTCGAGACTCATCTTCGACTTACTTGTTCCAGACTTTCGAACGTTGGAATCAAGTAGAAGCGCTTAGAAGGGCTTTAGAGTCCATTAAAAGTTGACGGGCTTCAGCGGATTGAAACTCGTAAAGAAGAAAATGTTGAATATGGAGAAACAGTTCGGCAACTATACTAAAGCAATTTCTTGGCAAGTTCAAGTATAGTCCAGCCCAAATAGCATCTATTTGAAAGGTAAAAGGAACAAAAAAAAAAGATTTCAGAGGAGTTAGAGTCCTTAGCAAATGTGGTTGGGGCAGCTGATTGTTCATTTCTGGGTAGGTCCACCAAATCCGTTTCCTGGTCTAATTAACCTCGACCAATCAGAATTTACTACATATTTCCATTGTAGCTTCAGATTTATCTTTATCAGCACTGTTCGAGTGAATATACGTAATTGTGCCCTTGAGTGTTTAAAGAGTTCATGAAAATTCACCATCCAGAAGAAAATCACGACGGGAACTTGGAGTGCCTCGTTTGGAGTATTTTGCACGCGAAGCGTACACAATGTGGTCGGGGTCCCGACCACGGTGGCTGGAGCACGCAACGAGGGTTTGTGCTGAAACTTTGCAACTTGGGTGTGGTGCAGTAGGAACGAAATCGTCGCGTCGCGGCAAAAGAGGCGCCGCGCGCGAAGGAATGTAGCAGAATGCAGCAGCAAGTAAGAAATACAGGAACAAAAGAACTGGCATTAGAATCATGCCAAAAATAATAAACGCCTATCGATTGAGCTGTATGAGGAACGCTAGAACTGTAATAACNTGAATCGATTACACAAAACCGATCTTACTGCCCGTCTCCCATAATACACCAGTTAGCTCTAGGGCACCCTTGAAACGTACGTAGCAACAGTAGCTATGAGTGAGGAACCAAACGGTTTGTAATCTCTTTCCAGGGTGCCTTGGACATCGGAAAAGATCTGCAAACTCAGCAAAAAAAAATTCCAAAGGGATATTTAGCTGTATGAGGCCTGCATCAGGTCATGACGAGAACCACAAGACACGCTGTGGAATTGTCCGAGCATTCTGAAAAGATGACCCTGTACAGGTGGCAATTTGTAGTGTGAACGAAAGCACTAGAGAGGGCAAAACACGTTGGGAATGATGTGGAGCAGGAGCTCTGCACACCAGTCCGAAGGAGCTTCGAGAATGAGAAGGATGAGGTAGATGAGTGTAATTACGATGAATGGATGATGAAAAACCTCCATCTGAGCACATCGAAATTCTCAATTTGGTGCCGTTGTTGAGGCTGTTCCCTACATCGTTTCGAAGAAATTCCCCACCTCAATGGCCCTAGAAAGGGTGGAAGACTAACAAGAATGAGACTAACACACGACCAGACCCCTTTACGACCTCTGTCCAAGAGGCGCTTGGAGCATTCCAAAAATAATGATTCATTATTGCCCAGGACATCTCTGTATTCTTCTTTCACCGCCATTAAAAGACCCACTTCAGGCTGGTGAATCATGTGAACGAGAGATCGATGCAACCGATCCATTGCGTCCTACGACAAACGAGCTCAGCGGCGCCAAACTGCTTCTCCGAAAAGCCATCAAAGAGGTACGGTAAGAAAAAAGAGCTTTATGAGTTGAGAGACCTACAATCCTCTCCGGAATGGCCCTTTCTTTTTTACATTATTTATATATTTCTATTTACTTATCACTTAGTAAACTGTATGTGTGCTCAGAGACATGCAAAATTCCGAGGTTTTTCGTTTTCACAAAAAAATATATAAAAAAGGTTTTTTGAATCAAGCCTGAATTTTGACAGCATGTTTTGTACAACAAAACGAATTATTGGTAGCGAAGAAGTGGTGCACTTCGTAAAAGAAGTCAACAGTTTTACAATTTTTAAAAAATTCTCCTAGATGCGTTGCGTTTTTTTGCCTACT